ACAGATTCCACACCAGTGTTCTGACCCAGACAGCAGGTCAGGTCACGGAAGGACAAAACTGAATTCTTTGTGGGAGCTGCAAGGGATTACCAGAAACGACATGCCGCACGCATCACTCTCTGACGCTCATGAGTGGACAGACACAAGGTATACTTTGCAGTGCCACGTTTTGAAAATTCCATGCCAAACCAAGGGGGATTTCCGGTAGAAAGGCGCCAGCATGACCGAAGCGAATCTTCGCTCGCTCAAATTGATTCCTTGGCTCGCTGACATGTTTTTGCTGCAGGGTTGGTTGAATGCCCAGACTTGCAATAGTGGTGCACTTGTTTTCCCTTCTTTGAGGGGCTCCTTTTCAAAACGGCTAACAAGAAAGACACCCTTTTCTCCCATAGCCACTTCCCAAGCTTAAGACTGTAGATGGCATGGCTTCCTACTTTTTTCAAAAAAATGGGTTGGTTTAAACATCGCCACTTGAGGTTTGAGGTGACTTGCCTCTTTGCGCTGAAGTCGGTGGCGAACTGCACTGGCCAGGGCTGCTCCACCATCACCGCATACCTATCTAACACTGGCAGCGAGCCGAGGATCTAATCACCGCGACCCCATGAGTTCCATTCAAACCAAAACACCTGCTTGGTGGTTGAAAGGAAAGCGCCTCTCAATGTAATTTCGCGAGCCGCTATATGTTCACGTTTAAACAGGCCCAAGTTCCAGGCACACCGTTATTCAGTTCACCCTTTCAGAAAATTCAGTGAGCTTGAGCTGAAGTGGGGCCAAAATTCAGGGAACACAAAGCAACCCTTGGCAAATTGAAGTGGGTGACACCTCATGTCAAGAGGCGGACAACCACATGGTATAGAGGGTATTGCGCAGGGTCCTGTAGTGAAGTACGCACATAAACACCGGTAAAAAGTAAATCTCAGGTATCTCCCTCAACCATGTTACTGCGTAAGGCAACTGAAGGTCCAAACTATCTCCATGCCGAAACGACATCCTTGACTCTATCAAACACGATCCACAGAATCGAGCTTCTTTTGTGCACTGAAACCAGTGTCTTTGGCGAACATGTCAATGTATGTTCCGAACCCTCCGTACGAGGACGTCAGGTAACGCTCATGACAATGACCCAAAACGCGCATGCCTTGTGCTTTAGGCTGTGTGAGACGTCCTCGAAAGATAAGATTGTGTGGACAGATAGGCATATGCAAGCGCACACACTGGGGAACGCAAATTCAGCTTTCCGGCGACCGACCCCCACAGACCCCCACCAAAGGGTCCAAAGTCAGGCTGTGCGTTTGTGTAGAGAAAGCCAAGGAGTACTCATACTCCTCGAAGACACCTCAAAACGGGGGGAAACCCGGGCCCCTTTCTCCGAGACACAGCTCCTCCACAGTCAAAGGAGGCGCCGCAGCCTCATCAACCTCCTTGTTGATGCGCTGCCGCGCTCGTTCCCGTGCCTTCGCAAACGCCTTGGGCGCAAAGGTTGAAGGATGGGGCGCTGTGGCTTCAGGGCAACCCAGGGCAGTTTTAAACGGAGTTCCCTTCCATCTCAATGATGAACCCTCATTTGAACATCATACGAACAACTAGTTTATCCCAAAAGTTGGAGAATCGGCCGGCCCGTGGGCAGGGCGTGCTAAACGATGCGTTGTTTTTGCTCATTTGTGCCTGTTCAGCCGGCCTTACTTGGTGTCTTCAGGCTTCCGCTTTTTGACCTTGACGATTCCAACCTTTTATGCCAGGCTCTTTGTGCAAACGCGCATTTTCCCGCCCATTCAAGTCAGGACTATCATGCGGGAAGGCGATTCCCAAATATGTCCAAACCAGGCAACAGCTCGCAAACAAGTTCCATCCTTCTGGATGTCGGCATCTCCATTCGATTCAATTTTCAGTGTGATCAAATATGTACGTGGGAAGGAAAGAGATATTGTAGGAGTCGTGGGGGTACAGAGCGTGTATTTGATGCAGTGATAACAACAAATATGCCACTTGAATGGTGGCAGATGTAAGTGATGCACAGCTCGAGTAGTTTTGCTCAACTTTGAATGGCTGTGGGAAAGGCCCTTTTGCATGGCCATTTCGCCAAAGAGAAGAAGCCCTCGGGAAATTACCTGTTGCAAAGTGTTTTTTTCTCCCTGGCTTCGCCTTGAACCCCAGCACCCTCACGAAACACACAACAAATGAACCCCTTGACGACCGCTTCAACACTTTCCGCCAGGACCCAGCAACGCAATCTTCGCTATGTAACATCCTTCGGTTTCACAAGCCGCCTCAAAACGGAATTTCCGAAGTGAGGATGTTCAATCACAGTCCGTTGCCAACGGGAGGGGCAACTTGCCGGTTGCGGAAAGCTTTTCGTTGCGAGAAGCGCTCTGCAGGGTGCAGGCCGTTTGGAGGTCTCCAATCCGCAAGGCTTGAATGGAGAAGCAGGCCCAGCTCACCTGGCATGCATGTGTGCAAATCCGCCCACCCCACAAGAGCTTTAAAAATAAACATGTGTGGAATTCAATTGATTGATCACCTGCGCAGAGTGTAAGGGCAAACCGTGTAATTCGAGGGGTGGAAGTTGCAGGGCTGGATGGAACCAGATGCTGGTAAAAAGCAAAATGCCCCCAAACCTGCAAACCAGAGAGCTCCCATTTAGAATTTCGCGCCGAGGGGTGATCCGGAGGGTCCCCGCATTCCGCTATGAGGAACATCAAAAGAGACCAACTTATACTTGAGATATGACTATAGCAGTATACAAGCAAAAGAAATCGAGTCCCTGGGGGCTATTCTCAAAATGGTGGAACTCACGTTAGTAGGTACACACGGCAACAAATTCCTTCCATGTCCAAACAGATTTAGCTCGAAATCGGCCCCCTTCCAACTGCAAGTGTCTCACTCTCTGACTGGCACTCCCACGACGGCCCTCCCCCCTGGAAGAGCAATGAGTCCTTGCTTTCCACCCGCCGACACCTCTAAAAGAAAGCAATGCGTCTCCACTTTGAGTGGGGCCCGGCCTCAAGTATTTGCATGTTTGTTGCTTTTGAGGAGGGCTACATCAACCCCAAAATCAAGGATATGGGCAAGCAGGGATCCCCCGAAAGAACGGAGTTACGCCTTCACGTCGTACTCGCCGTTTGCGCGGCGCACCAGCCCTGTCCCGCGCGGAGTTTGGGCTGCGCTCGCCCTCGAACCAGATTCTGAGGAGCGTTCCACCATCTGCTTCCTTGGCCAAGGTTGCGGTCAGGACACTGTGTAGCTTGTGGGCTTGATCTGAAGGTAGCTAAATTGCAACGCCCTCTTCCAACAATCATGGAAGTGGACAAGGGGCTTCCGCCAAAGGACAAGTAGCCTTCTAAGAGCCATGTCAATTCCCTGACTGATAATAGGAAGGGCCTGATAATGCTCGCCGGGATTCAGCAGCAAGCGGACATTCTCCAGAACCGGCACCTGAAGGCCACATCGCATGGACCAACACACCCCGCCTCCAAAAGAGATTTTGTCTAGTCTTGTTTCAGTTCATAGTAAACCAGCCCATACCCTGACCCCCTCCTCACCGGCAGCCCCCACACCTCCAAAAAGGAGACGACCTCCTTGTCAAGGAGGTTCATGAGCAGCGCCGCCAGCACTGACTTGGCCCCGTCCGACTCTTCCTCGAAGTCCCCCGAGACCTCCCCACCGCTGCCATCGTACCTCGGCCGCGCAGAAGGAGTTCTGGGCTTGTCCAATATATATTTATACATACACGTACCATTTCAAAAGGATCATTATGAATATCAGTGCTTGGCACCCGATTGAGTTGGAACACGTCCCCTAGCAATTTGCCATGTGGTCGAGCCCACCTACCCCAAAATGGGACAGCTGGTTTCGACCTACAGCCAAATGAGAAGAGGAAGCTGCCAGCTGTGTCCCGTGCTGCGCCCGAGGCACGCCCTCCGCTTGGCCACGTCGCTGAGCAGCTCAAAGGCCTCCCGCACCAGGCGGAAGGCCTGCTCCGAGCCGCCCTTGTCCTAGCGGAGCTTCCGTTTGGGCATGGGTCAAAAATGGGTACCCAAAATGGAACCCTGGTAAACGGAACCAAGGACTAAACCCTGTGGTCCCTTGGTGGTTTAATTTTGACCCACACCCATTTGCTTTTCCGCCCCCCGAAAGAAGAAAGGGAAATGATGTCCAGTAATGAAAACGATTCCATGGGAAAAAAGGGAAGATATGTCCAGTAGTGAAACCGATTCCATTTAAAACCAAGGGACAATAGAAAATGTTCTCAAGCAAATGGAAGGGAAGGCCGGATGGGTATCGCTTGAGATCAGTGGGGGGATGGGTACCCCGTTTGTGGGTTCCTGCTTGGGGGGATGAGGCCGGTGTTTTTGGAATTGGTATCCCTTTCAGGTTGGTTCACTGGGAAACCAAACGGCCAACCGCCCAACATTGGTTGATCGTATCTCCCTAATCCTCTTTTCTTCTCTTTTTTTGCCGGAGAAGAGAAGCCCACGCGTCCCGTGGTTTTTTGTTGAGTTTGACCTAGCGCAGCTCACTCCTTTGCGGTTTTGAATTTTCGGCCTGGGGGTAGAACAATGGAAATGCTCCTCTTTGCCTTTTGCTTTCCCAAAAGGATAGTCTGCCGGAACACCTCCAAGCATCCTACCTGCACGGGCTGCAGACAAATTGCTACATACGCTATATACTGGATTTCTTTCAAGTAAAAACAGGAACGCCACATGTTTTTAGAAGTCATTGTCGAGTCATTGTTGAGGGCGCCCCCGTCGTCTGATTCACCAAAAACAAACACACAAACACAGCCCAATTTCTTGGGACCCCAAACCATATAGGCAGCCTGTTATTATTTCATCGGAAAATTGGATTGGTACCCTCTCCAAAAGCCAAGGGTTCAAATCCGCAAGCCACCAACCAACCCACCAAGCTAGGGTTGGTTAGGGACCCGGTTTGGCTTTCCGGCGAGGCTCTGGGTGGGTTTCAAGAGCGCGCCGACGGTAAGCTTTGTGGACCTCTGCGATGCTGGCGTCGCGGGTCAGCTGAAGCGCCTTGTAATGACCCTTGGGGTCCTCCTTGGCTTCCGACTCGGCCAAAACACGGGTCAGTGAAGCAGCGTAAAATGCGTTCGAAAAGATTCCGGGCTCCATGATGGGGAATCCCAGTTAGAGGAACCTTTCAAAATAAGTTTCACGCCAAGCCGGCGCTTTGAGGCGTGACGTGAACACAACTCGAACACCCGGCAAGCCGCGCTCGCTGAACGAAAGCCGAGAAGCCTGGCCCAGCTGAGGCTTGCGGAGCACTCTTCGCCTTTCAGGCGGACGCTCCTGCGATGCGAGAAGATTTTGTCAGTGGCGCGCGGGTTCGACTGGTAGGGGTTCAGCTGGGTTGCTCGTAGGTTTGATGGGAAAGGTTCGGAAGACTCAACAGGGGCTGTGGGAATGAAACTCGGGATTCAAGATAATGTTGCGCCTGGTTTAACATCGGTAGTCTGAATTATGTCAAGTTTCCCCCGGCTTAAACACGACCCCCGCACTGTTTCGACACCATGATTTATGGCAAGTTCAGGCCCCCAAGAATCCCTGTCCCAAAGGTCTGAGCAAGATGCGCAATATGGGCAACTGATTCTCCTGAGTGCAAACTCTGCAACATCTAAAAGCTTAGCAACGGACCAGGCCAAGATCTGAGCCTAAGAATTCCTGGTTTGATCCTAAGCCCCAACCATCAAAATCCTTTACTTAAATCCATCAAAAACACTCCCACAATAGTCCTGCAAAAGGGGTTTCCCACACAGAAGGGGTTCCTTGGGGGCTGCGTTTTTCAGATTCCTGGGGGCTGCGTTGTTCATGGAAAATGTGAAAAAGATCGAGTTTTCTCTACTTTCTAGAAAAGACAAAAATTTTTCCAGAAAAACAAAAACCTCGAGTTTTCCAAAAAAACAAAAACAACAAAACAAAATGCAGGCCCTATGGCTGGGCAGTCCAAGCTTGGGGACATAGGGCCTGCAATTTTTGTTTTTTGGCTTTTTGGAAAACTCGAGGTTTTTTACACTCTTCCAGAAAAACCAAAACTTATCGAGTGTTGAAAAAAAATGCAGGCCCTACGGCTGGGCAGTCCAAGCTTGGGGACATAGGGCCTGCAATTTTGTTTCTTTGGACAACTCGAGGTTTTTGGATTTTTCTCAGCATCCCCGTCTGCAACAGAATGCCTTCAGACCTGTGACTTTCGTAGCCAGCTCTGTATTCAAGCCGACCGTAGACATAACATATTCGCTATCTTCGATTGAGATGGTTTCATTCAACCATTTATTGTGCTATTTAGTCCTGTTTTTAAATTCGACTGAGAACTAAAATGGTCAACATTTAGATGTTATAGTAGAATTGGAAAATGCATTTGATGAAATCATCTCAATATTTGTATTAATTAAATTGGTGGGCAAAATGCTATTAAAATATGTTGTTGGTGTAGCGGTCAAATTATTTATTAGATTTGCATTTGATGAAATATTATCAAAATTTGTATTTCCTATTAAAATGCATTTGATGAAACATTAACTAAATTACTCGCTATGGCTGTTGTATTATTCATAATGAAAAAAGCATTTGAACTGATATTCTTTGATAATACATTACCTTCATTGCGTTAAATCAGAAACATAGCATCAATCTGTGCTTTTGTGAATGTGTCTATTGCTGTTGAGTACATAAATTATACCTGTTTGATTAGCCTATGTGTTTCTAATGCTTGTCACCCCGCTTGTAGAGTTGATTCGCTAATCGTGTGTGCTACAACATGGTCAAAGTTTGCTAAATTTATTGAAGGGATTAATATATTCATATTAGACAATGATAATATGACAATTCTTAATATTATCATATTGAATTTGTTTAATCTAAAATCTGCACTCCGGCGTCTCTAATGGAACGTATTTGCTCACTCACTAATGTTATATATCCTCCGACATTGCTCGGCGTGTCGGACACCTGAATGAGGATAGAGGATAACCCCCCCCCCCTAACCCGGGTCCCCCACGTACCGCGCGGTAATTTGATGACGTTCCACTAAACGTCGTCTTTGGGGAGCCGGTGTCGCAAGACAGGGGTCCCAGGCTCATCCCCCTTCCGGCTCTTTGGGTTTCCTGCCTCCTTTTGCCGAAAATCTGGAAAACTCCGTGTTGTTGGACGTCCTCTTTACGAAAACGCTGGAAAAACCGTGTTTTTTTTGCGGGAAATACTGGGGAGCAAAGGGGAAATGCCAGGAAGCGCAAGGAAATGAGGGGAGGAAATAGGAAGTCGACATGGCAGGAAAGCAACGGGAAATGAAAGGGAAACAAAGGGGCACTGAAAGGGACATGAAAGGGACAGAAATTAAAACAAGGGGAGCGCAGGGGGAGCGAAAGGGAAACAAAGCACAAGGAAACCAATCGGCACGACGGGAGATGTAGGGAAATGACTCGCAACGAAAGAACGGGACATACCTGGAAAATGAAGCGGACATACCGAGAAAATGACAGGGACATGAAGGGGGAGTTGAAAGGAATGGAAGGGGCATGACCAGGACATCATGGGAAACGTGAAAAGGACATGAAGCCGACAGCTCAGGGTCATGAAGTTGCCCGGACATCGAGGCAACTCAGGGGGGACGTGACGCTGCAATGCAGAGAGAGAGGGAGACAGGGAGAGAGCGGGAGAGAGAGAGAGAGAGAGAGACACAAAGAGAGAGAGAGAGAGAGAGAGAGACGCAGAGAGCGAGAAAGAGAGAGAGAGAGAAAGAGAGAGACACAGAAAGAGAGACACAGAAAGACAGAGAGAGAGAGGAGAAAGAGAGAGAGCGAGAGAGAGATAGAGACTAGGCCCTCCAGTAGAGAGGTTAGAATTAGGGTACCCTTTTTCTGTAGAGGGGCGTGGACAGGAAGGAGACAGGGAGACAGAAAGAGACAGAGAAACAGAGAGAGAGAGAGAGAGAAAAAGAGAGAGAGAGAGACAGAGAGAGAGAGAGAGAGAGAGAGAGAGATAGAGAGACAGAGACAAAGAGAAGGAGATTGAGGAGAGAGAGGCTTGGCGGGATGAGGAGGATGGGGAGCAGAGGGAGGGAGAGAGGACGACAGAACACACGAGGGAAAGAAGGGAGAGAGGAAGAAGGAGAAAAGGGAGAGGACAATGTCGGCGGACTGAGCCGGAGGCTCTAAAGTATTGTGTCAGGCTTATTTGCCGCTGTCATATTTTCAATAGGTTTCACACGAATTAGAAGCTGTTGTCCAGCCTTAGTGTTTATTCCAGTATATGAAGTATCGGGAACCTTTTCGAAATTCATAGCAAAGATGAACTTGTCAACACGATAAGCAGTATATTAAATTGATAAATGATGTTGATGGAGCAATTGAAAATTTACATGCTCCAATTGGAATTAAAAAAAAATAGGCCTTTACTCGCATGCCATCACACAACCAAAAGAACCGAAAATCTAAAATATCTGTGCTGCAAAAAACGCAGCCCCCAGGAATCTGAAAAACGCAGCCCCCAGGAATCTGAAAAACGCAGCCCCCAAAAATTTGAAACCGCAGCCCCTGGAATCTGAAAAACGCAGCCTCCAGGAATTCGAGAAACGCACCCCAATGCCGACCCGCCCTCTTCCCACAAGGGGCCCTGATCATCTTCAGGGGCACTGTTTGGGTTTCATGTTTAATGTTCATCAAGTCTTACGGGCAACCCAAAAGGAAGTGCTTGCAATACTAAATTAAGTAGTGGCAATGCTAAACCAAGTAGTGGCAACCCAAAAGGAATTGCTGGCAATACTAAACTAAGTAGTGGCAATCCAAAAGGAAGTGCTAACAATACTAAATCAAGTCGTGGCAACCCAAAAGGAAGTAAGGAAGTGCTGGCAATACTAAACTATGTAGTGGTTCTAGGAGAGTAAAACTTAAGTCACCCAAGCTCCCTGCCAAATCCCTACTCAGGATCCTCGAGCACTGCTTTAACTGCTTGAGGGGGGGCCACAGTAAACAAGGTCCAACATGATCAAAGAATCATTTAAGGATCACTCCTTCAGAACCAGCGAACAGATTCTGCAGCTGGTTCCCCTGGTTTTGGGCACGAGCGGCAAATCAACATAACCCCGAGATGATACCCTCCCTCCACTAACCAGGAAGCCAAAGAAGGACATTCTTCCAACCCACGCCTTTACTCGGGCCCCATGTTAAGGGATGACTCACTCTGCTCGAAGCGCCTGCATCGCCAGCGTCCCGGCGAAGTAGCGCTGCAGGCCTTGCCGCGGCCGCTCGGGCGGCGCCGCCTCTGGCCGCGCGGGTGCCCTAGGAGGCGCCTTCTTCCTCTGCCTGGCGGTGCCCCCCGCCCCCACCCAACCTCATGGCACAAAGCTACAAGTGGGACGCTACAAGCGCGCTTCAGAATCTGATTTTCGGCGAATCCCAGATGTTGGGCCAAGAGAAAGTGGAGGCCCCTGTTTGGCCTTCGTTTATCGCGGGTTGCTTTAAAAACCGGGGCCCCCTATCTCACTCCAACAGCCGCGAGAGTTGTTCCAAAAAGACACTTCCAGCCCCATGCATACATAAAAAGCACAGGGATGGGGGGTATCGTTTTTGAGCCTCTATCGGTTGCCAGGGTTTTGCGCAAACCCGCAACATCAGACGTAGTATTGACGCTAACTACTTCTAAAAACTCCGAATCAAAATTTAGTACCCTGATGCCCACTAAAAGACGTTGAAGTGGCCACGCAACAGGCAAGGGAAGAACAGGCAGCAGGCAGTGGCACACGGACTTGTTTCGCGTGTTTCACAAGCAGGCTCGGTGGTTGGGAACGAATCGTTTCCGGGCCTATCAATTTCCCATTCCAGAACCTCGGTTTACCAAAGATTGCCTTGTATAGCTTCTCAGCAACACAGGGAGCAGCTCACAAGAACCCAAAACTATTCAAACCAATTGTGTCTCCCTGGAACTTCTGGTGGTAGCTCTGTCCCCTCAAGTAGAGAGGTTAGAATAGAATCAGAATAAGGGTACCAACCTTTTGTCTGTAGTCTATTTTAGTAGGGGAACCCTCCCAACCAAAAACAAGTTGGGAGAGAAGGGCACTACTGGGGGACCTAGGATCCTAGGAGGGGCAGCCTCTTGCGCGGGCCGAGCCGCCGCAGCCGCGGCTCCTCCTCCGCCGCCTCCGCCGCCTCCGCCTCTCGCGCCGCCTCTTGCGGGCCTTGGACCTCTCTGATGATCTCGTCGCACGCGACAGCGTGGACAGTCCGGGTGTTGGCCTTGAACGGCAGCTTCCTTGGAACGAAGCCCAGACACTCCTCGACATGTGCACGGATATGAGCATCAGAAAAATATGGAACTTCCTCAAAGAAAACAACCTACAAGAAGAAGACGCCCGAAGATGCACACCCAAATGCCAGCAATTTGCTCACTTGTGGCCCTTGGAATGAGGGAGGTGCTTCTCCAAAAAATGATCTGGACTGATTCAGAAAAATCAATCAATAATGGTAACAATGGTAATAATGGGTTTGAACATTATGGGTCAACATTATCGGGCCTAATCATCCTCACCAATCACAAGAAAATGCCCAACGGGCATCCAGAAACTTTGCCCTTGCTGGGCCCTTCGAGGATCGAAAGCAACCCTGAACAATGTAGCCGAAGGCCCGTCCTGAGAACAAGACAGGAGGGCGTGTTGATCTTTGATTTGAGGAAGCAAAGGTTTCCTTGTGAATTCACCACATTGCTCTGGCATGTGCTGGCTTGACTAGGCCCATTGCATTCTACCATGAAAAAATACCGGCTTTCCTCTTCAGCTCTCTTTCAAACCAGCCGCCCCACCCCAACAGTAACAAAGCCACACTTTCATGTTGTTCTTTGACAGGAAAACTGTCATCATCGGAAATTCCCCCTTAAACTGAACTGGATGCCCCCTCTCTGAACAGACTAAGGGCAAGGGCGGCAACACTGGGCACAGGTGCGTGTTGTGATACCAGGCTACTTTACTTTGAAGGTACTGACATGTTTTATTCCCCCCCCCCCTGAGGGCCCTGGTTGTAAAGGGCATCTATCTCTACTGAACCCACCTAGTACGCGGACTTTTTTCCAGGGGACTTCAGCAACCAAAGGATAACAGACCTCTGGCATGGAACCCAGGCCAGCTTGTGACAAATTCTCGACCTTTTTGCGGCGGGACGCTGAAGACCCAAGCAAGAGTGCGCGCGGAACCTCAAAAACTGCCATTTGTGGAGGAACTCTTTGGGGGACAAATGGGGTACAAACAGGGTTTCCTCAATCAGGGAAGTGTCCAAACGGGGACACTCTTTGACACTGCCATTTTTGGGGGACCATTCTTTTCTCTCTCTGCCGTTGCGTCCAACGGGTCTTGACTCAGCAAAGCAACGAAAAAGGTGCCCACTGACATCCAAGGGCACCAACAACATGGTAGGACTGGGGGTGTCAACTTCTTGGGGAAGCAGATGGCTTTGCGGACCTCGATTCCCTTCTGGCAAGGCGCTGCACCCGTTCCCGGAACTCTTCCGGGCAGCACTCCGCCGCCAGCTTCCTCGCGGCGCCGAAGACCTTGGAGCCGCCTGGAGCTGACGCAGAGCCGCGGATCCCTGGAAATACATGGCGATGGTCAAAAATGGGTAGCCAACAAATACAAAACCTGGTACATGGAACCAACGACTAAAACCTGCGGTCCCCTGGTGGTTTAATTTTGACCCATACCCAAATGGGGATCACGGCTTCAGGCCTAAGCTTATTCGCTTGCCCCGGATGGGCCCTGGAAATACCAGGTGATCACCTTTCGAGACCTTTACAACTTTTTGAAAAAGGACATACTGTTGATCCAGGATTAAGAAACCCCCTGTGAATTAAGATGGGGGTGTTTCCCTCCAAAAGCGATGAATCCCCACTAAGACCAGGGACACCCCCAGATTTATAGACGGGGGGTTATTAATCCGGGGTCAACGTTTCAATGTGATCACGGCTTGAGGCCTTGCGCAAAATGGAGAGGCGTGGCAGCTGCGGCGCGTAGAAACTCTTTGCGCTCAAAATGGGAAGAGTCTTGGGGCAAGTGAGCTCATGGGAAAAAAAGTAGGAACAAAAGGCTTGAGTCGCGTGTTGGAAGGTTTTTGGCAACGGGGTCGCCTGTCAAGAACTTGTTTTTCGTACACTGGTGGCATTCATGCCGCACAGAAATGCACACCCATGTAAGCTATGGTCTGGACATATACGATTCAGACAGGGACATAGGAAACTGAGTCATGAGTGACTCCCTCTAGGTTGGTTGTGTCTGTCACGGGTATCTTGGGCGAACCTTATGGTTGTTGCTTGACATCCTTTGCCCACATTCCGTCTAACAACCCAAACAAAGGTGCTTGCAAAGAAAGACAGGCCCTACTTATTATCATAACTTCCTAACTCCACCCCTTGAATGCCCACTCCTTGGATGTCCATCTCCTTGGGTGATCATTGGGTCGCCTTTCGGGTTAAGCAAACTTGTTTTAACAACAAGGCCCCACTTCAAAGTTTCACAGACATGGGAAACGCAAGGGGGGAGGGTCAAAGAAATGGTCTCTAAGCATGTTTCGTAGGGACCAGTGTTCTGCTGGAAGTGAGCCAAACCAGTGGTTTGGCTAATTTCATGTAGCACTCTCGGCTGGCTTCTTAAATCGAACACATTTAATCGCCCCAGCCTTTCTTGTTGGAGTCGATGTTCGCCAGCTGCATAAGATGCCGAACCCATTCGCGATTTTCCGCGCGGATCCTTGGATCCCCCCGCAAGGGTACTCAACGAGTGGGCATGTTGTTGATGTTGCCTTCTCATTGTTGTTTAAAAGGCAGCCAAAAGGACCCCCCCATTTTAACATATGTCACATTCCCATGTTGGTTGTCCTCTGGCAAAACGCACTCACTTAGCGACGCCAACTCCCCTCGCCCAACAAGAGGCCAAGCATCTCCTGCTCAGTGTAGTCGCCCCGTCTTCGCCGCTTCGCGGCCATGTCGGCGCCGTGTGTGGAACGCAAAGCAGCTTGCCCCAAAGATTGGGACACTTGCCCCAAAGATGTGTTGAAAGGAGGTTGGAAGGCCAAGGGCCTTGCAGGAAAGGCCACCAAACACTGTATCCCAGCCGTGTATCGGGCCGCTCTTTCACGTGCACCGGGGTCAAAAGCATCTACAGGCAGCATGACAAGGTACTGAACCCCTCTGTGGCGCTATGGGCTCCACCCTGTCATGACCTTTTGGTGGTTCACCAAGGGCTTGGGCTTAAACCTGGAGAATATTTTGGCCATGAAGAGGAGTGTTAGACACACGCTGCACTTGGGCCCACTGCGGAGCACCCAGTCGCACGGGTATGGGAATCCCATGCACCACCAACTCCAAACACGCGGTCTCCCCCAAACATTCCATTCTTCAGGTTAGACTGAATATGGAATGCAGTCAGATCGTATCAGTTTGTGTGTACCCGAGCTTTGGCAAGGAAGCATGGAAGGGGACATGGGCCATATTGGCTTGGCTGGGTTGGTTTTTAGTTGGTGGGTTGGGTGGGTTCCCCACCTGCCCCTAAACTCAAGGCAAGAACCCAAACAAGGGGGAACCAAAAGAAAACATCCTGATTTGCTGAAAATGAGTTAGGATCCTGAGCAAACTTTCGCTGCGCGGAATTCCACGCCTTTCGCTGCAGGCTTGCCTCAGTCGGTTTGCGCAGTTTGTTCTCCAAATCTTGGCCCTTTGGGGTACATGAGAACAATACGTTCAGATTCAGTGCACCGAGCCCACGCTGAAATAAAACACCGTTCGGGAGGATCCCGCCACCCCCCACGAGCACACTGAAAATTGGACTGTCCAAAAATGGGAATACCTCCAAAAACGCGGCTCGTCAACGCTAAGTTCTGCACCCGCATCCTTGCCGAAGCCTTTGCCGCCGTAGGGACCACCACATCCGCCCCCGCACGCACCGCCGCAGCCACCACCGCCGTAGCCCCCACCGCCACAGCCACCGCCACAGCCACAGCCGCCGTACCCCCCACCGCCACAGCCGCCGCCACAGCCACCGCCACAGCCACAGCCGCCGTATCCCCCGCCGCCCCCGCAGCCATATCCCCCGCCGCCCCCGTAGCCAATGGGATCCTTGCCACCCTTGGCCCCAAAACCTTTGCCCTTGCCAAAGCCGGGGTCTTTGCCACCGAAGCCTCCCTTGCCAAAGTCGCCGGACTTGCCCTGAGCCGCAAGTCGCTCAGTCATACCCTAGGAAAGCCAAAGAGATTCATCGGCAGAAGGCAGTAAGTCACATTCCTGGCGGTTTTGAGTTGTCAGTTCTGTCGTGCCGCTTAGTCTGAATCCCTGCAACTGATTCACTTGTTGCTCTTATGGTTCTTCCCAAGCCATTGCGCAATCCTTCTCTGGCCATTCGGCCAATGACGCCTGTTCGAACCCATGGACCAACTTGTTCGGGACCTGCGCAGTATTGCGCGCAGCGGCATGCCTTTGACCGTGGAGTTGCACCAGGATTCTCTATTTCCCTTTTCAACATCGCCCCAACAAAAAGGAATGTCAATTTAAGCCGGCTCAAAGGGTGATCTGTTCAAAGAACTCCCTTCAAGAGAGATTCTGGGAGAAGCGGTCCATCCATCGCTCCCCTTGCACCCGCCCGGCTTGCGCCCGCCCAGCTTGCACCCGCCCGCCGGGGAAATTGGAGAGGTTGTTTTTGTTGCAAGCCGGCACTAAGATGAGCAGAACCAAGCCAGTAAAAGACCGGAAGACAACTCGCCAACAGTGAAGGAGGTTCAAGTCGGAGCTCTTTAGGAGCCCTAAAGTCGGGGTTTCAATTGAATCCTTTTTCGGCTTCCCCTAGGTCCACGCTCCACATTCTACCTGTCGGAATGTAAGAAAAAGTATCAGCAAAAAGCAAATGTACAAGATGGTGCCAAACATTGTCCTTGCAAACCCAAATGGGTAATTCCTGTAGCTTCATACATGTTGAGTTGGTCTGGAACAAAATCCCGCGGCTTTTAGCAACTTAGCGCCACTTGCCGCCGGCCTTGTAGGGCGTGATGTTCCCCACGCCTCCGGGACCTTGAGCCAAGTCGCAACCTCCCCGAAAGGTAAAGACAGAGAACCCAGCTGAGGCTTGACCATTTGGGGAGACTGCAAGCCAACAAAGAGACGCGTAGTTTGTAATTAAGATGTGAAAGCCTTTGGCTTAAACAACTAGCCGGCAGCCGACCTTTCCATTTCAAATGAGTTTGGAACAATGGTCCTCGTCGTTTGCTTGAGGCAGCGTTGTTCCATGTTGGTAATGAGCAAGCCTAAGGCACACCAGACCCGACCCAGACTAGCCGCCCACCCCACTCAACCCGGAGGCCCTTCTGGAATCAGAAAAACACCAAAGATGTGTGAAAGGAACGATGGCTACTTGTCCACACCTTGGATTGGGCTCTTTCAAGCCATTTGACGAAACAGAGTGTTCAGGCTATTCAAGGAAAGCCTCAAGACTAGTGCATGTAGCACAGTGCTTTCAACCATTCGACAGGCGCGTAGAAACGCAGCCCAAAGAAGTTCCCCAAGCACGACCCATCCGCGGACGCCCACTGTCCAGAAATCGCATCCGAGGCCGTCGCTGGCCTTGATGTCCCAGGCCCATCTCTGGAACCAAGGCCTCGGGAAACACAAACCAAACCCATAAAAAACACCAACGAGCGCTCCAAGCGCGCAACCCAGCCTAACGACTGCTTTTTGGGCAGCACTTATATTGAGCTTGCCACGTTGGAGTGGGCGGGGGGGGGGGGGGAAGGAGGGTTGTGGGAATCGCCTACTTCCACAGAAAGAATGCAAAAGGTCTTGGCTGAAAATTCTAAGCTCCGCTGGCTCCATGGTTCTCTTTTGCGCGGGCCAATATGCAACGGTGCCAATGGGAGGGCCTTAATTTACAAAAGAGGTGTCCTGGTAACCCCCCCTCCCGATTCACATGGAGCTATTCAAGCCATGATGTTTGGACAAACAATTCCGCGCACTTGTCGGATTGCTGTGCGACTTGGCCTAACTCCAAGGAGGCCTTAGAATGAGATCATCTGGATGATGTCAGGTTTCACTCAACACCGCTCGGGCCAAACACCAGGCAGCACATTGCCACCACCCGCTTGGCAAAAGACAACTAAGTCATAATCAACAGCTCATTGATCGATCATCAACTAGGTTCGATACCAGGGGTTCACAAATGGGATCGCATGCGCACCCTTCAAATTTGATGTTGGTGCACGAGCCCAAAAGGTCCACAACTATCTTTGACAGCCACTTGCGCATGGACCCTTAAATGCTTCAAACCATGGTTCAAACACTTGCGCACATGACCTGATCCTCTCTCACAGAGCACCACTGCCCATTTCTCAACCCGAACATCACCGAGAGATTTCTCGACAAATTGGTGCTTTCAGGGTTCCCTCTGTCGCAGGACCCTACTATAGAACCAGCGCAGCGGCCAAAGGGTTAGGGCTGTACCGCCTTAAGCCAAACTCCCAACCCTAAAACCCGTTGGGGTGGTCGGGCCTCTTGATTTTCAGGATGCCTCGAAAAGCCAGTATCCTTTCGCAAGCGCCCACAAACGAAACTCAAACGCAGGGAAGGGGGGCAGGACTGCAACCTGCGGCCAGGTTGGAGAAATCTCAAAGACGAATCAACATGCACACAAGCTCCTCCATGGTGTACACACGTCCAGTTCAATGAGTGTGGGCTCATAGCTAAATAATCAATGAGACCCCTCAAACAAATGGAGGCCTGTTGGCTCTCCCGCAAAGCACTTAGTCGCCAATCTACCTTCGCTACAACAATTCCAACTCCAAATATTGACGCGGGGGATCAAGTAAAGGACCGACATCATGAAGTGCATTGAACATGGCCATGAAAGGGCTCGCCCTAAAATTGGGCAGGGTTGTCGCCAGTGGTCAAGGCAGCCAAAACAGGCTTGCAGCAAGGGCCCCTGCGTTTGAGCTATTTCGGTGACCTGCGGCGCCGGCATCCCGACGAAAGAATCTTGACCCCAAACTCAACCCCAGTTTATTAGAGGGGTGTACCTGGGTGACATGTGGGGAATCATCACTTTTGGACGGGAAAAAAAAAAAAACTATAAATGAACACCCGAGTTTATTGATAGAGGGGTGTACCCGGGTGAACTGTGGGGAATCATCACTTTCAGAGGGGAATAAAGAAATCCTCTAAATAAATTGGGGTTGATTCATGTGGGGTCAACATTAGGTGGAGTTGCCCTTTGGCTTCCCTTTAAACCAACCCCTGAAGGAGTAACCGCCAACGACACGCGCACCCCTGTAGCCAGCGAAAGGCAAGGGGGGAAAACCAGAAGCCTTGGTCAACACCGCCGAGTCCTTCCGGTGAACAAGTTTCCTTAGAATCGGGGCTGACATGGCAAGTCAGCACAAGCAGCAGCCCGAGAGCTCTCCCGAACCCTCCTGGAATTTCCGCGTGCTGAAGCGTCAATATTAACCAGCCCCAAAGGTCAATTTTCATGCGGTCAAATGACTGTCCAGTGCCAACCCCAAGTTGTTTGACCTCGTCAAAGGGCTTGCTTTTGATGTTCCCCTGGGAGGTGCACAAAATTGCAGAACTCGCAGTTGGCACATCCAGAATGCCGTCTAGAATCGCACTTTGCACTCAAACCGCACCCAATACCCATCTTCCACCCCCTATGAGTAAGTCCCCTTCATACCTCCTGCCAACAGGAGGCTCACTTCAATGCTTCAAAGCGGCCCCGAAGGACGGCCCCAAAGCTTCAGGGAGCCGCCAGCTCCCCAAGATGTCGCCCCAAAGGTTCCAACTCCGGGGGCCATCTGGAGCCCCACCTTCTCCACGATGGTGGGGACGACATGCACCAGGCCTGCGCGGGCCCGAGGGCTCGCGGGCTTGCCGGGTGCGGGAAGGGAATTTCCGCGCGCGAAAGGGAAAGGGAAATCCTCGAGCCGGCTGCTTCTAGAAACAAGCCCTGCCTTCTGCGATGCCAAGCTGAAATGAAACTGTTTGGAAATCTGAGCCAGGTTGCTCATACCCGATTTGTGCTTAAGGAACTTCAGAGAGTTTAAAAGGCCGTTGGCCAAATACTGTTGACCGTGTTGTCAAGGTCCCTAAGCTTAGCAGAACTGCAGAACTGACAAATCCCTCATGGCAATGCTGGTTAGCTCGAGGCTTGCCTTTTGGTCCCTGTTTGGAAAAATAAAGGGGTCCTCGTGTAGCCCTCCAAGTCAGCAGATCCCGTTTTTTTCCCTCCGCTCGGGGCGTCAAAATGCAAATCCAGCCTTGCCCCAATGGTTATTTTTAGCTTTCTTGCTTTCAGGCTGAAAAGGGCAACTGCCATTTTGGGGGGTCCCTGCATGCCCAAATGCCGCTCTTAAATATTGACATGCAACCCACGCACATAGCAGTTGGCTTGAGCCGTGCATTTTGAGACACATAAGCTGTTTCACAACTAGGGGACCCTCCACATGACTAGAGAGGAAGTGGCAACCAACCTTGGGACAAAAAATAGACCCCCAAAGCGCACCCGAGGCAGCCCGTTCCGGAACCAGGACCCGTGCCATTCATAGGCCCTGCACAGGACACCACCTGGCGGTTTGCCCCTCGCCCCAACCAACTCACAAAGACGTGGCGGCTCCATACCCGGCGATTTGCTGAAACCTCTAGGGAAACATATCAATATGTCCAGAAGTCATGGATTTGTGTTGAATCACACTGCGGAATATATCAAATGTTCTCAAGCAAATAACATGTTCTTACTCACCCTCGCGCCCCAAGCGGGGGAATGTATGGGGAAGGTGTTCTTCTTTAGTCGCAGGGTGGACATGAAGAAACCTGTCCAACAGGGTTGCTCCAAACACTCTGCAATCCGCATCCGGTGATGCATCTGTTGCGAGCCCTGGTGATTGAAACATCGTGATGCTCACGTGCAACCCGTGCTCAAACACTCTATCGCAAGAGAGTAGAAATCCTACCGCTCCCAGGGCCCGTACTGAAGGAAGTGCCCCAAGGAAGTGCCCTATGACTCAATTCTTCGGAGGAATGGTAGGAGGAGGGTGGGTCAAGGGGGTGGCTCCTACGCATAAGATTCTAAAACAAAACTAAAGTCCCCACCAGTCTGTCATGATACTTCTCAAGGGGAAACAGTCTTGTTGCACAAAGGAATTCGAAGGACGAAGCCATGCAACGTTGGCCGGAAGGGCGTGCGCCGAGGCTGTGCATGCTTTGCCAACAACTGACGAGGAACCAACAAGTCGAATCGACCAAGTGTGAGAACACAATGTCTGAGCTCCCTGGCAGAAGGGCAGATCTATTTCCGGTACCTATTTGTTCGCACCCTCACCGGTTTGCGCCACGCCGGTTTAAGATGCAACGTGGAGTCAAAGAGGCGGTTGGAATCTCACCTGCTGAGTGGATGGCCCAAAAAAAAAGTCCAAACTTTATATTTGCCACTAAAATGGTCTTCCCAAAAAAGTTTAAGGTTCATGAACTCAGGAAGCGAGGAATTGGACACCTAGGGCCCCGTTGGGTGAGGTGCATCCCCGCTGCATCGGGCCCCGCCTGCTCTCCTAGCTCCCCGGACCCCACCACAAGTTCCTGGCGATGGCGACCCCCCCTCAGAGTTGCGTGGCTTTGGTGGCGCCGTTCCGAACGCAGAAAAGCAAAGGGGGGTCTAAAGCAAAATGGGAGGATCGTGCCGGCTTTCAGCCTGTGGTGAACCTCACTCCCTCCCCACCCCTCAAAAATTTCAAAACGAACAAGCAACGTGTGGGACAGCCATGCTACGCATGGCAACGACAAAACGTACTTCAACTCGCCAACACTGTTTGCAGCTCAGAAGGCGAATTTTGCAGCTGGTTCTGACTTACCACAAACCAACACACCGACAATCAGGTGGTCGGAAGATGGACTATAAACGCACAGCTGGAAACTTGAACGTCTCATCGGGCCGTTGTTGTGGGGATGGCCTTTGAACACCGACGCGCACACAGAGAGAGGCACACACAAACGCAGACTCACACACACACACACACACACACGCAAAAGAAACGCGTGTGGCTTGGAGCCCCATCGCCTGCTGAAGGTCAGTGAGAAGAGGTATCCCGACAGAAAACTTCACAGGCGACTCCAAAACCCTGAGGCCGCCCTTCCCAGATGCGTTTGGGCATCTCGCCATAGATAGGGGACCCCCTAAACAACGGGTTGCCCTTGAAAGCAACCTGAAAGGTACCTTTTTCTGTTGGTTGGGCATACCATAATTCACAAAGCTAGAGAAAGGAATCCCCTCCCCTACCCTCCCTCGAAGGGATCTTGGTTCATGGTAGAGCTCGGTGTTACCAGCTTACCAGTTCCCTTCACATTCCGCATCCTCGATGTGGATCTTCATGCCGGAAGAGGCCTTAGCCGTTCGCCGCCAGGTGTGAACGCATGAAACGCTGATTCTACAGCCCGGCGAGCCCCTGCAGTCAATACCCGCGTTTATTGACCCGAGGCCGGCGCCCTCAAACTCTTGATGCTGTCGCCGGATCTGCCGATAACAGCTTTGGCGGACCTCAGGCCGCACGTTGCAATCGCAAGCAAACTCCAAACTCGTGCGAGCCGACAAACAAACTTATGCGCCATGGGTCACGACTTAATGGATCATGGTCATGGTTCCTTCAACAAGCATCAGTATCATGGTTGCCCATCCCACTTTAAACCCCAACCAAGCATGTAGGCCTTACCGCGGCAACCGTGCCAAGCAAGACAAGAAGCGAGTGAAGCTGATTTCGGAGTCAGCCCCCAAACGCAGCTGCAGGTCTTCCATTTGCTTAAGTTCCCTGAGATTGAACAAGCATATTTCCAGTAGTGATAGATTCCGTTTCAAAGCAACAGGGGAAGGTAACACTTGAGGAGCGGGTGAACGAAAGCTAGCAGTTGTTGCATGAGATGGGTCGGTGACAGAGTGGATTCATGGGTAGCCTGTGTACAACGAGAGGCCCGGCAAGATTCAAAGGATGCGACACGCAAACGCACATGGTGGCGTGGCAAACCTTGAAAAATAAAAACAACGAGAGGCGTCAGAAGCTGTCTTAAAGCACCTCTGGGTTCTGCATGCTGCGTGTGCAACGATTCTTGCGAGGTGGTTTACTGAGAAGACTGAGGTCTCAAATGAACAAGCTGAATCGGTGGAACATGTAAAAGTTCGTAGCACCAAGTCCAAAACGGGCAAACCGAGACTGCTGAACACTGAGCCACTGCCCGGGGGGGGGGGGATGGACCAGGGAGGAATCGAGCCTGGGACCGGGGGGGGGCGGGTCTAAATAATTGATGTTTTTCAATCTTTTCGGCTCAAATAATTGAAAAAATCAATCTTTCGGCATTTGAGCCCCTTACCTTGCTTACGCAAGGAGAAACTTCAGCTAGCTAAAGCTAGCTTTCGTGAAAACTTTCTTAAGCACATGGAAATCCCCCCTACCTTAAAGGGGGAGGGGGGCTGGGGGGCCCAATTCCATGTATCATGGAGATTTCCAGGGGTCGAAATCCCCCCTCCCCCATTTTTTTCATGTTTAAGAGCCAAGCACGCAGCTGCCGCTTTTGCATCCTGTCGCACATTGCCCAGGCCCTCATTTGGCGAGAAAGCCGGCCTTGCGGACCTTGCCACCCAGCGAGACCAGCAGAGCCTGCAGGCTCCAGATATGAATGGTGAAGTAAAACAAAAATAACATGCTTCTTGGGAAGTCCTGGTTATATGACGGTGATCTCCATTCTCCAGTCTAATCTTTCCTGGATTTCCAGATCACCCACTATAACGACAATACAGATAGGAGAAATGCACTGATAAAATCTTTAAATGTAAAGCTGGATGTGTCTCTCTCATTAAGTAAATTCTAGAGGAGCAATTGTGTTGCTTGGTTCCTTCCCTGCTTGGCGGTCGGAATATGTCGGAATACCCCAAACATGAAAGGTGGACATTCATCAAGCCATGTCTGTGATGCCTACGGTGCGCTTGGTGTCTTTTTCAGACAATTCGCATGTCTCTCCATCTTCGTTGGTTTGAAGGTGGCGGCCCCACTTTGAAACCACAGCAAACCATTGCTCGTTGGTTACAGTGGAAGCTCACCATTCGTTGGTAACTGCAAACCATTGTTCGTTTGAAGGTGGCTCACTTTGAAACCATAGCAAACCATTGCTCGTTGGTAACAGGGGCCATCAAGGTTCTTTTTGAAGGTGGCTCACTTGGAAACCAAAGCAAACCGTCGTTCGATGGAAACAAGGGCCATCAAGGTTCTTTTTGAAGGTGGCTCACTTTGAAACCATAGCAAACCGTCGTTCGTTGGTAACAGGGGCCATCAAGGTTCTTTTTGAAGGTGGCTCACTTTGAAACCATAGCAAACCATTCGTTGGTAACAGGGGCCATCAAGGTGGTAACCAGAAGGTGGTTCTTTGCCATAGAAGGTTCTTTTTGAAGGTGGCCCACAAACCATAGACCGTCGTTCGTTGGTAACAGGGGCCATCAAGGTTCTTTTTGAAGGTGGCTCACTTTGAAACCATAGCAAACCGTCGTTCGTTGGTAACAGGGGCCATCAAGGTTCTTTTTGAAGGTGGCTCACTTTGAAACCATAGCAAACCGTCGTTCGTTGGTAACAGGGGCCATCAAGGTTCTTTTTGAAGGTGGCTCACTTTGAAACCATAGCAAACCGTCGTTCGTTGGTAACAGGGGCCATCAAGGTTCTTTTTGAAGGTGGCTCACTTTGAAACCATAGCAAACCGTCGTTCGTTGGTAACAGGGGCCATCAAGGTTCTTTTTGAAGGTGGCTCACTTTGAAACCATAGCAAACCGTCGTTCGTTGGTAACAGGGGCCATCAAGGTTCTTTTTGAAGGTGGCTCACTTTGAAACCATAGCAAACCGTCGTTCGTTGGTAACAGGGGCCATCAAGGTTCTTTTTGAAGGTGGCTCACTTTGAAACCATAGCAAACCGTCGTTCGTTGGTAACAGGGGCCATCAAGGTTCTTTTTGAAGGTGGCTCACTTTGAAACCATAGCAAACCGTCGTTCGTTGGTAACAGGGGCCATCAAGGTTCTTTTTGAAGGTGGCTCACTTTAACCAGGGGCCATCAAAACACTTTGAAACCATAGCAAACCGTCGTTCGTTGGTAACAGGGGCCATCAAGGTTCTTTTTGAAGGGGCTCACTTTGAAACCATAGCACCGTCGTTCGTTGGTAACAGGGGCCATCAAGGTTCTTTTTGAAGGTGGCTCACTTTGAAACCATAGCAAACCATTCGTTGGTAACAGGGGCCATCAAGGTTCTTTTTGAAGGTGGCTCACTTTGAAACCATAGCAAACCATTCGTTGGTAACAGGGGCCATCAAGGTTCTTTTTGAAGGTGGCTCACTTTGAAACCATAGCAAACCATTCGTTGGTAACAGGGGCCATCAAGGTTCTTTTTGAAGGTGGCTCACTTTGAAACCATAGCAAACCGTCGTTCGTTGGTAACAGGGGCCATCAAGGTTCTTTTTGAAGGTGGCTCACTTTGAAACCACAGCAAACCATTCGTTGGTATTCTCACTTGCCCAAAGGACCCAGAAATACAAGGTCAACCTTTTGGGGTCATGACTAAAACTAGACCAAGAAGGAGAAGCCAAAAGGTCAAAATGTCGATTCGCTTTGGGCAACTGAGTATTTACAGGGGAAGCATCACCCAGGGGATTCGAACCTCGAGCCCAGGGACTCCCTCCGACCGAGATCCGCCTGCGCTTTCTCGTCCGGCACCCCCTCGTGGCGCGCGATGGCGAAGCCCACCCGGCGATTCTGGCGGTCGTAGGCCGAGTAAAACCTCGCGCCGTGGGGTTTTTGTTGAGGTGGTTTGGCAGGCATCTTTCCCCAAGCCAGCTGAAATTACTAGGGTCAGTGAGGGAGGAGGCCGTTCCCAGAACAAGTCATTTTGGGGGCCCCATGTTAACACATTGATCTCAGGTAAAGCAAGACTTCCGCGGCGCGCGCCTTCCATGTTTGGTCCCTGCGGTTGTGTGCTTGGATTTCAGGGCTTCCCGAACTCGCTTCTTGCGATGCCACTCCGACCGTGGCAATCCCATATTTCCAACTATGCGAATTTCGGGCACGGGCGCTTCATGCTGATGAGCCCGTTCTGCCGCGGATTCTGTGAGAGGAAGCCACTGAACCCCCGATTTCCCCCCCCCCAACAAACGAGCGAGGCGCCAGCGTTTTGGCCAGGCAGCTTCCGCAGGAACGGGTCGCCAAAAATGAAGAGCGGGCCGTTGGGGGGCGGCACATCCAGACCTCAGGCGGCTAAACTCGAGCTGGAAAGCACCAACTGGTTCTGCCGATCGGAGAAAAACGGAGACAAGGCAGCCTGTGTTTCTCTCCCCCCCCCCCAACCAAAAAAAAAAAACGAAGGGCGCCCGGCGCACCTCTTCCAACTCTCAGAGTCACAGGTGCCGAAAATCTAGGGCAGCTTGGGCTGCGCCTTCCCTCCCCTGCAAGGCAGGGAGAACAACTTGTGGAAGCCAGCGATATCCAGCACTTCTGCTCAGCCAAACTGTTTCCTGGGCACAAGGAGCCTTGCTGCAGAAGTGCCCCTCGAGTTCTGTAGCTTCCCCCATCTCGGCTTGTGCCCTGCCAAGCATCTTGGAAGACACCTGCCCTTTCAACGCGTTCCGCTTTCTTTCCAGCTACGGGTTTGGAGGTATGGCGGCTTCTGGCAGCAATGCAAGTCGAGCCTGGAATTGCGGAAGCTTCAAACAAAGAACTACAGTTTGGAGTACGCTTTTTCTCGCCGTCTCTCTCTTTTGTGTTCTCTCTCTCTCTCTCTCTCGCTCCCCTCTCTTCCTCTTTCCTCTTTCCTCTTTCCTCTCTGCTCATTTTCTTTATGTCTGTCCCATGTCTTCTTTGTTCATTCACTTTGTCTTTCTTCATTATCTAGAGGCACCGAGGAAACTTTCAGTCAGCCGGAAAAGCAAAGCACCACAGAGGTGCACTCATCCAGGCAGTGTCCATAACAAGGAAATTCCTTCTAAACTTCCTTTGGCAAGTTTGTAACATTCGTCTACTCGCTTCCTTCGTGGATTGGTCACAAAAGACAGTAAAATCGCCTTCCAGAAAAGTGCAAAGCCAGGGACTCAGGAAATGAGTCTATATGTAGTATGATATAAAGTCATATGACTCATCCAGCCTTTCTTTACCTCTGTGCTAAGCCATGTTTAAGCTTACAGCCACGGAAAACCCCAAGTTGGAGGTCTCCAATGCCTCGAAAGCCAACATAACATGATGCCTGGCTTTGACCTTCGTTTGAAGGTCAAAAAATAATTTTCGGGCCTAGACTTGACAGGTCCGCTGAAGAAAATTAGTTGAAGAAGAAAACAAACCTGAGGATAAGACTAAAAATTCGCGCCGCGGTGCTCATCAAAGAGGGCGAGCAGGAGCCCCCGGACTTGTCCACATAGTCCGAGGGCTTGAGGTTCATCACCTCAGACTCGCAACTCCCGTCTCATATTTTCGCCCACCCTGAAAAATAGAAAAGTAGCAACCCGGCAAGAATCATGCGGTCTTTTGGTTGAGGTATCCGCTTTGGGGATGGTTCCAAAGGGAAAAGGGAGGAAAGCCACAATCTTAGTAAACCTTGATAAAGCTTGAGTGTTGAAATCAAACCTCTTTGCCATCCCTCCGAATCGACCTTCGCGCATGAGGTTTGGACTGGGACCAGCGGCTTGAACCCTACCTGGGCCACAGAGCCTTCACCAAGAGGGCGTGAAAAAGTTAGGGCTCGTCCCCTGGTTTTTGGTGGGGAATTTGGTGAGTCCCGCACATCCCTTTCAAATGGACCATAGCCTGCTGACGTTTTGATTCCGAAGCATCTCTTTCGCTCGGCATTGCGTCCAAACTACTCCAGGCCCAGAATGGCGGAACTGCCAAGGGTGTTATGCGAGGGTGCAGTAAAGAAATCGTGAGCAATACTTGGACATATAGATGCACGACCAAACGCAGATAGGGAACTACCCGAAACCGAGTGCCCTTGAACCAGCAAAACCGATAGGTTCCCTTTGAAACCAACCGAAAGGCCAGGTTCTAACCAAATACTCCTTGCAGCACGTGGGGAGTCATCCCCGTCATCCCCCCCCCCGTAACCCCCGTGACCCGCCAGCGGTTCGGAGGCGCATGGCCGGCCACCACGAAACCCAGGTCCGGCAGCTCGTCGTAGTTGGAGCAGTCGCCGGCCACCTGCAGGCGCCTCGCAGGTGCCAAGCGGATAATTTGGCGGGGGGATTCTCATTCTTCGCCCGGGACCGGGGGAGGATTTTTTTTATCCGGGCTCTTGAGGTGTCATTGTTTTTCGTTTTGCCTTTTTTTTTCTGGGGGGGGGGGGGGCGGCGAGGGGAAGGGAGGAAGGAAGCGGGCACCTAAAGATAAAGAAGTGTCGCCGCTGTTCTTGCTTTTCTTCTTCTTCTTCTTCTTCGTCTTCGTCGTCTTGTTCCTGTTGCTGTTGATGCCAGCAACCCGCACACGCACACGCACATGACACACACAGAGACACAGAGACACAGAGACACAGAGACACAGAGACACAGAGACACAGAGACACAGAGACACAGAGACACAGAGACACAGAGACACAGAGACACAGAGACACAGAGACACAGAGACACAGAGACACAGAGACACAGAGACACAGAGACACAGTTGACACAGAGACACAGAGACACAGAGACACAGAGACACAGACACACAGACACACAGACACACAGACACAGACACAAACACAAACACACACACGCACAGGCACACGCAAACGCAAGCGCAAAGACAAAGACAAAGACAAACACAAACAAAAACAAAAACAAAAACAAAAACAAACAAACAAACAAACGACACCGGCGTAACTAGCGGCCTGGTGAGCTCATTGATGACCCGGCTGGGACCAGCGAGCATGGAGGTCCCAGTGTCCACTGCCACCTGGCAGTAGGGGGTTGTGACTCCATGACTACTCCATGACTACTCCATCACTTCAATGTGCTTCAATGGTTCACCGAATAGAACCAAGCTTCCCACAAGCATGGGCAAAAAGGGTACCATTTCTCGGCACTTGAAAGCAGAGCCTCCGTCACCAGAAAAGATCTTTGCTAGAACTCGGCTCATGTGCAACTCCTCCAGCAGTGGTCCGGAGATATTCCGCGATGGGTTTATCCGGTTGCATGGAGAAATCTGCGGGTGTTCATTCCTCCGTTCGCGGAGAGGGCGACTGAATTTCAACCGCTAGAAATAGGGTTGAACGACGGAAGCCTCAGTCCACACCCATCAGGTAAAGCAGATTCACACAAAGTCAGCCGCCTGTGCTGATGCGGCTTCCGCCAAACCTCTCGTGCCGTCTGCAAAGGGGCGGCTTGCTGCCGTCCTGCCTTACAGGGCTCCTACACTTTGACCACTTTGAGGGGGCTGCATTCCAGATTGAGCAAAAACCGCCGCTGATTTTGGCTGAACGCACATGGGAGCTTGACCAGCTTGCCCCCAACTACCGCTCCAGCCAGCGCGCCCAATCACAAATCCGCCAACGGTGTGAGCACTGGCAGCAGTCCGCGCCTGGCAATCTGAGCAGATATGCTGGCGCTGGTTGGAGATGGCGATGTCCTCCATTTGAACCTGATCTGAGGCCCGAAGTGCTTCACACCTATAGAGGGACTAAAGATTGACCAAAACAAAAGGTTGACCAAAAGTGACTGGCCACATTGGCCATATCAAGGATTTGGAGAAAGCCTCAGGCGAGTCTTGGGCATGGGCTTAGGTGCTCATTCTGCCCACCCGCTCGCCCAAAACCCCGCCCAAAACCCCGCCTGCCAATAGCCTGTGTCTCGAGACACCGGCACCCAGAACCTAAGCGCGTCGCTGGCCGGAAGTCGGATGCAGTTGGGCGAAATGTGTAGATACTATGGATGGACGAAATCCTGCACCACCAAATAAACCCTGGCCCTAGAGCGATGATTCCCCTTTCAAAACCAATAAAGGGTTTCCTATGGTTTCCAAGTGGTGCAGGATTTCGTCCATCCACAGTAGCACAATTCACCCTTGCATAGCCAATTGTTTGACCTACCCAGCGCAAGCCGCCACAAGAAGGGGGCATTGGGAACCCGCTGGAGCCTGGCCTCGAAAGTTCACTAAGCAGAGCCGCAGCCAAAAAGCAGTCAGGACCCAAGACAAGTCTGCTGAGTTACAAGGCAGGTGGCATCCAACGCGGCAACGGGCACCCCAGTGTGGGAGTGTGGGAGGGGTAAGGTCCTCTACTGTGTCCCCTTGATTGAAGGACCCCTAGGCCTCTTTGAAACTACCCATAGATAGAGACGCCTCATAGAAGAACCCCTCTTTGAAGGAGCACCAAAGCCCATTCATGGTGGAACTTGATTAGCGAACCCCCTGAGCAGCCGCCACCGGGCCCGATAAGGGTTGGGCGAATGTCTCAAAAGAGGAAGCTGGCCTTCCGAGCGGCATGTCTCCCACCATGCGGTCCTGCTTGACATCGCCAAAGGTGATCTCCTCGCTTGCCAAACCAACACGACATCGATTCTTGGATGACCCACCCTTCACCCCCTGGCCCCCGCTCCCAAAAATTGCAAGCCAAACAAGGCAAGCAAAGAAGAACACACATAAACAGCAAACAGGCAAGCAAGAAAGCGAGCAAGCGAGCAAGCAAGAAAGCGAGCGAAAAGGCAAACAAAAAGGCAAGCAAGAAGCAAGCAAGCAAGCAAGCAAGCAAGCAAGCAAGCAAGCAAGCAAGCAAGCAAGCAAGCAAGCAAGCTAGCAAGCAATCAAGCAGAAAAGAAAAGAAAAAGCAAACAAACAAACAAACAAACAAACCAACAAACAAACAAACAACCAACAAAAACAACTAACAAAAACAAAACATTTAAAACAACACAAACAAACAAACAAACAAACAAACAAACAAACAAACAAAAAAAAAACAAAAAACAAAACAGGCGGGCGGGCGGGCGGGCAGGCAGGCAGCTAGACAGGCCAGACAGCCATCCAGCCAGCCAGCCAGCCAGCCAGACGGACAGACAGACAAACAGACAGACAGACAGACAGAAACACACACAAACAAGCAAAAAAGCAAACAACTAAAAACCAAGCCAGGAAACGAAACAGCCAAACTGAAAACTCTGCAAGGAGCCCCTCTTGCTGACTGCTGCTGGGTCTCGGAATCCTCCCTCTCGGAATCCGAGAGGAAGACCGAGAAGATGGGATGCCTCAAGTTGCCCGCCGCCTCCGAAGCGGCCGAAGTGGGCAGAATCGCCACCCCACTCCCAGCCCGCTGATCGATAGAGCGCTTCTCAGGACTCCGCTAGGTGTGGCTGGAAATTTTGGAGCTGGAAACTGATTCCTACGGAATCCTGAGTTGATTTTTCAGGATTCTTTAAGCACACTCACGAGAAACCCACTTCTTGGCGTGACAGGGCTGGGCTGGACAAAGAAAGCCTCAAACAATCTGCCCTTTGAGCCAGTGATTTCGGTTCTGCGAAGGCCTCTTGTTGCATGTTTCAGGGGAACACGTGTTTCAGGGGAACATGCCAGATTTGTTGCCGCCGACCCCTATTTCAGGACAGGCCCCATCTCACTCGCCGAATGAAAGGACCTGTGGAACATTGCCATAAACATAAATAAAAACTAAGAAATTAAAAAGATCAATCAAGGATGGGCTTCCCATTTGCCCTCAACGAGAAGCAAGGATTCAATTCCCCAAACCACCAGTTGAAACAACCAATTAAGAGTAACCTGAGCAAGATTGCCACCAAAAGGCAAGAACCGCACAGCTATGGCAGAGACCTCGGGCGCATTTCCGAATAGGGGATTTGCATGTCCACAACCGAGAAATCCATGGCTACCCTCATCACATGTGTGTGTGTGTGTGCGTGTGAGTGTGTGCGCCTAAAAGTAGTGGACCCTGATTTCGGATGTTGACGACTAAGCGCCTGCATGTCCTTCGCCCTTCATGTTCCAACTCCATGCGGACCTTTTGGCCAGATATGCCATTTCAGGTGAACCATTTTTCGATGTTCTCCCCTAAGCCCTTTCTGCGTACCTTAAAAAAAGAGTGTGTGGACCCTACGCTGGGGAATGACCCAGAGTGTTGGGAATGAACCTAGGGATTCCCCTCAAAAGGAAACCATACAACATATGTTTTCTTCGCGGTCATTCTGTTTCTTGTTCCCTTGTCGAACCAGTTGAGGGACCCCAACTTGACACCCCCAAAGGGGATGGTCTCTTGTTGTTCGGGGTCATTCCATTTCTCATTCCCTTCTCGAACCCAAACACAACCTCTCCATGTCGTTCCCTCGAACCAGTTGAGGGACCAAACAACTCCCCGCCTCCATCATGTCCATGATGCTGAAGGTGGGCCCCTGGGTCATGCCCGACAGCGCCAGGCCCAAGACCCCGTCAAAGTCGAAGGACCCAAAGGGCTCCGCCGTCTCGTGGCTCGCGCCGATGAACTCCATCTTCGCGCACAAGTTCCCGATGCACACGTCGTCCTCAAGCCAGGTGCCAAAATAAGGCGAAGCTCCCAAAAAGGACAAAACACAACGACATGTGGTTGTCCTTTGTTGAGATAGTTTCCCTCGACAGTCACACACCCCGCCCAAAATAATAATACTAATGATAATAATAATGTACCAACTTGTGAGTCTGTAAAGCTGTTGGGAGGGTCCAACGAGTTCTTGACAGGCACCACGCCACAAAGACAGGAGAAAGGGTGTCACGGAACAACTGGTCAAAATGGAAAAAAGGTTCAAGGCAGCAATAAACGTATACGTATCTATACTTTATGTAAATTGCTGTATGTATATTTACACCTGTGCATGCATTCACTGGGGTAGGCCTAGCTGGCGAGGACAACCCCTCCCTCTCCTTGAGGAAGACTCCGGTGATCCTCGGGCGGACAGTTCTTTGCCACATGATCCAATGATTGTCAGCCCAGGGTTTTCAGACCCTGTTTGATGAATAGTGGGTGCCCCTGTTTAGATGGAACCTTCAGAACTTCATTTCCGTGGGCGACAGCCACATTTATTCTAATCCGAGGTGCCCATCAACATGCTTTTGGTCAAGAGATCATCATGTCTGATTCGAATTGGAACCCTTGTGACTGCAACTGGTTGGAGGTAGATTTCTATGGCCCGGCACCCAAGAAGCATCCTGTAGCACAGGGATGAATCTCACCGAACGAAAAGCAGAGGATCAAGCTTCCCGCGTGACATTAAAGCAGCTAGCCCAAATAATGTTAACTTTGGGTTTGTCCTTCTAATCAGAGGAACCCATCATATCCTTCCTACAAGGGGGAGCCGTCAAGGAAAACAGCAACATGCGTGCAGGAGGCAGTTCGTGTTGTGTCGAAGTAGGGGGCCCAACAAATGTGGTTGTCTGGGTTCCCTTTTTCCACTGCGAAAAGGCTTCCCTCAAAACATGCATCAACTTGTCCTGTCTCTCAAGCCACCAGCAGTATGCCCAAGTTCTGTGACGAAATTTCAATCTTGGGCTAGTTTATGATGAGACAACCCCCCCAATTTGGATGATTGCTTCTAGCCTTCCAGTCTCAACAACGGGTCCTCTCCGCCCAATTCCATCTTTGAGGGTAAGGATAATACTTGGACCCGGGAACAAAAGGGTGATCCTTTTGAGGCCATGACTTTGGTGGCCAAAAAGGGTAAAATGAAAAGGTCAGATCCGGTCGATTCTCTTTGGGCAAGCGAGTCACATATTCACAAACAGGTTCCGCCACCACCAAAACGGGCACCCAGTTGCCCAGCAACCCTAGCAAAGCAAGGAAGCCCTTTTTTACAAAAAGGCGGGTTTAAAAGGGCAATGACCTCAAGGCCCCATTCAGGGAGGCTTGGCTGACCGACTTTCTGTGGTCAGGCGGTCATTGGCTTCCTTTAAACATATCCTAACTGGGGGGGGGGGGCGGTATGAAAGTTGAACATGGCACGTCCCAGTCTTCCAGGCAACCTTCTGAGCAGTTTGCAAAACTTCCAATGATTTCCCATGGCTGTTCTTTGCGCCCTTTATGCCAAACATGGCCAGAACCAAAACAAAACACTCCAAACTACAATGTCAAGAACACTGTGGGGTCCACAGTTGCTTGGTACTTTGGGCATATCGTAAATCTCAAATTGTCGGATCGTGTTTCCTGTTTCACCCGATTTAAAAAATGGGGCGCCAAAAAAACATATGGCCTCTGATTGAAAGGACTCGTGCAACCCCGCGCCGCCGTTTACAGGGGATACCAAACAGAGCTCTCATGTATTTGACAAGCCGCCACATACTCACTTCCTGAGTGGATTGGCCAAAAAAAGTCCAATCTCTTTATTTCCCACTAAGATGGTCTTCCTAAAAAGTTTCAAAGTCCAGAAAGGCTCAGGAAGGGAGCATATCGGAGAAGCCCACAGGTTACAAGTAGCCCCTGCGGCCTAAGATCTCGCCAGTGCCGAAGGTGACGGTGAGCTCATCTCGCTGCTCATCGCCAAACGCCTCCTTGCCATCGGATTGCAAGTTCCTGAGCTCGAGGGTTCTTGGCCACACCTGTCGTCCTATTAGAGGCTAAAGAAATACCAACACCATTGACCCTGATGATGTAACTTGGATTGAGAGTGCCCACAACCCCATTCAATCTTTGTTTAGAACCCCCCCGTGTGTTGGGACTTTTGAAGGGGGCCGGGCAAGCAAAGTGCTCTTTGGATAGTTGGCGTGCTTCGCCCTAGGAAACGTATCCCATTCACATACGCCATTCACATGGACGACAGCCATTCTGACAGCCATTGCGAGTCTGTGAATATCTCAGGATCCTTACCGCGGACTGACCAGCATTGGGTGACCCCAAATGGGTTCCAACAAATTGGCTCTAGGATGCGCATGATTACGCGTTGGTGCAAGCTGGCACCCGCGTAACAGAAATCGTTACTGTTACCAGACACACACGCCCCGTGATGCTCTTGGCTCCCAAGGCACACTGCTGTAGACGATTTTGAAGCATCAAAGCGCTTGTGCCTGGCAAGCCACGAGGGGTCACTTGACAAGGCTTTCAACACGGAACACCCCAAAAGGTGAATTTTCCTCGTGACTTCCCGCGACAACAACTATGCGTGGCTAACTGAGTTGGACAAAGAGCCGTTGTCTGGTTGCTCATCATTCTTCAAACTTAGCCGTCCCATGGCCCTAGGCTGATTGAATCCAGCCCAAGTTCAAATTACATCAGGCAACCCTGAATTGGTGATTTGGGGATCTAAACCCCCACCAAACCACCAATCCAAACCACCAACAGGAGAGAAACTGATTACAGCCTCAACCCCCCCCCCCAACAAAAAAAAAAAAAAAAAACACGCACACACCATCTACCAAAGCCAGCCGACTGAACGAAACCGATTCCAAGCACCCTGGAAAAAACAGGTCGGCAAAGTGGCATGACTGGAGTAAGGCTTGCAAAAAGGTTGGGCCAACCTCCTGTTTACAGCTTAACCTATTGCTTCAAGGGGTCAAAGGTTGATTGTTGCGCAAATTGTGCACAGCTCTGGCTGGTGCGCGAATCGTTCTGCTCGCACAGAAAGGCCAAAGGTTGCATTACTCGGCTTGTCGCACCATCAAGCATGTCCTGCTGGCAGCCACTTAGGTTCATTGTTCGTCATGTGGGGCTCCCTTGGACACCAAGCGAATGGACACCAACAAGCAACCAACCAACTGGACCCTCTCCTGAGGCTAGCCCATAGAACCGAGTCCTCTTTGCAACAACAAAGGCGGAAGCTCTCCACAAGAAGACCTGCGAGTAAATACCGGTCGTGGGGTCTATTAAAAACAACACCCTCCAATCTGCAAATCCAATGGGGACCATCACCAACTGTTGCTGCAGTATTGTGCAAGCGTGTTCCTTGCCCATGTGACAGAACAAAGTGGATCAACACCACGCAAAATTGACATATGGCTCATATGTGATGCTCAAAACCCCCCAACCAACAAGGAATCTAGGGACCACTCCAAAAAAAAAATATATATCCCCCCTGCGCGGATGGATCGCCGCGACTCCGACGCGGATCGGACGCCGGCTTCCGGTTCATGTCCCGTCGATTCGCCTCGTGCAGGCTGAGTCCCCGCAGAGGATGGAGGGCACCATCAGGTTGCCGCTGCCTGGCCACTTCGCTCCCGCGTGCCAAGCCCACGCGTGCCAAGCCGCGCGTCACGGGAGGTCCGGGCTTTCTCCCAGAAGCACATCTTGGCCCCAGCAAGTGGATAGTACGCCTGGTTCAAGGACTGATTGGGGTTTCACCAGGCTTACTAACCACTAAGTACAATGCCCCTTTTCGTCGGCCCTAAAATGCAAAACATGTTTTGGAGGAGACACCAAAAACAAATGTGAACGCCATGGTTGCCTTTTGAGACACGTGGATTGGCCAATCAAGTTAAACTGCCAGTCTCAAGTCATGTTTCTGTTTTTTCCCGTTGGTGCTTTGGTGCATTGCAGTGCTTTATTGTGCCTAGCTGAATCAGCAGGATGTGGATGGAGTTGTTGAGGGGGGATTCCTCTGATTGGTAGGGTCCTTCACACACATTCAGCGGGCCGAACTCAACATCAAGCCCTGATTGATTTATAGAGGCGTGCAAAGCGTTTCATTACCCCGTGCTCTTGCTGATTTTTCAGAGGGTAGTGGTTTGGGTGTTTGATCTTGCTATTCATCACTCTGGAGCTTCGGCTGGCCCTCACTCCCCACAGCCTGTGTCAAAGACCACGGTGGCTGTCTGCGCGGGATGGCCAATGTGGATGTTGCCATAGTACCTCAGAGGCGCTGGACAGCTTCCGCAAATGTGAGATCCATTCTCAAGCCCGTTCCTCAACAAGGGTTCCAAACAAAGGCTTGAAAGCATGGGGGCTAGTGAACACAAAGTTTGTAAGGCTGATAGCCCTGGAATGATAGGGATACAATGACCGTTCTGCCTCCAAACCCCACACCGCCGCCTGTTGCTCCCAGTCTAAAACGTGTGTTTCTCCCGGTTTTGCCCCTAACGCGAAGTCTCTGACCTGAGACATTCTTGTTGGGGCGCGGTTCCTGAGTAGCTTGGCCAAACAAACGTCTGGAGAAGTTCTTTGCCAAAGATATTTCCCAACAAAATGCGAAGTACCCTCCTGTTCGCGTTGGCATGGAACCTGACTAAGCGGTCCCGGTTTGGACCCTTTTGCCTTAACATGGACTTTCTGGTGGGTTCCATGTTGGTGGACAGCGGCGCAAGGCCCGGAACGCGGCCCCGCTGGGTTTCCCGGCGCCGTTTTGTGGACCACGGAGCTCAGGGCATCCATGCCGTTCAGGGCGTGAGAGCGAAGATGATGGGTGCGGTTCGCCCTTTTCAAGACCACCTCGGCTTTGCGAGTTGCTTGCATTTCTGCGCGCCTGGTTTGCTACGCGCCTGGTTGGCTGCAAAAGGTGTCATAAAAACGGGTTGCGGCACTCGGCATGCCACGCCTTGCCAGCCGAATCCAGCAGAATCCATCTGCGATTTTCCGGCCGACTGGGTCCCTGATTTGGCAAAAAAAAGAGAGGCACTGAAACATGCGGAAACCCAGCTCGCAAAAGGATCGTTGTGAATTGAATGCCTTGATCAGTTGAATGATACTCAAAGGGCCTGGAGCCGTTCTGGCCTGTGGCTGTTTATCGGCCACTAACAGGTGAGGGCCATGTTTTTCCCCAGGCCCTCGCCACGGCTCAAACCACGTAGCACAGACCGCCAGAAAAGGACCCCTCACTGCAATCCACTGTTGAATGCGCAGCTGCCATGCTTGACGTTTGTCGGCACAACTTAGGGCTTCGGTAAAAAGTGGGCACTGACATGAACAATGAAGGAAGATTAGGAGAACATTGAAAGAAATCCAAGGGTGCAAAACTGCAGAAATGATTGTTATGACTGACAATATGCTTGCCTTTTTTATTTAGCAACTCTTGAAAAGCGCTTGTATGCGCTATCGCTTACGTTGAAGCATAGCAATTTCCTGGTGGCCGCCATTGGCAGTGCATGTTCGGCGCAAAGATTACTCCTGAAGGCCAGTCTCACGCGCCTCTTGCTGCCACGCTGCTGAATGAGAGGACTTCAAGCCGGTGCTCGCCAATGCAGTGTGGCTGTCTACATTTCTGCCTCAGCGCTCAGAGGGATGTCTCCTGTTGCTTGGGGCTCGCCTATCCTTTGGTCCGAACGGACGCTGGCCATAAAAAACAACAAAGCCTTGTTGTTTCTCCCCACATCCTCGTTCCAACACTTTCTAGTCCTCTTCGCAGGCAATGCCCCTGGGCGCACATTGAGGCAAACAGGTATCGTAGAGCAAGCTCAAACACAAGCAAACCTGCGTGTGGGCAATGCGGAACAGCAAAAAGTGCCAAACCGGGCGGAAGTGGAACCTAGCCTCCCCAAGCAAGATTCTAATGTGAAAAGTAGAAAGGGCACCGTCACACACACACACACACACACTTTGGCGCCTATGGTCTAGCCACCCCGAAATTTTGCGAGACAAAAGTTTAGGGAAGTTACTGAAAACCTGCACCTTGAACGAGCAAGTTGCAACCTGCCTATTCTTCAGCGCATTCACCATCCCACTAACATTTCTGAAGCATAGGCTGCGGTCAATGTGACTTGTCGTTTATGAGAGTACCTTTTGCATCACTATTGCATGTTCATTTCACCATTTGTGACGAACCTGAAGTTCAACTAGGAGCAACCGGCTGCATTATTCATCACTCAGACTTGTGGTCCTCGCAACGACTGTTAGGAAGAACCGCACACGGTTGACGCAGATCAGAAACCACTGCGATGACCGAGCAGTCTGGCTCATGACGTTTGTTTTCTGTTCGCGCATCTTGGATTGTGCTGATTTTGATTGGGCCCAAGTATGGCCCAATGGTTGATTGCCTTTGATATTTGTTTCAAAGGGATTGCTGTGGGGTTTTGTGGTTGTTTCATCCATCCACGAAATATGATCCCGCACGTGCCAAGATCTCTGCATTCGAGAGGCTAATGGAATGGCAGAGGAGTGGCCCCAACCTCAGGCAAAGCCAGGGTTAAAATACAACACTGCAAACACGGGCCTCAAAAGGTGCATTAAAACCGATCCCTCTACACATAAAGGAGTTTCTGCATGTTGCTCTTGGAGGGTATAACTGACCGCCTCTCGTCTCTCTCTCTTCAACATTGTCCGTGTCTTGCAGAAACTGCACGCCTCTTGACTTCTGCGTCACGCCGAAGATTGCACATGGGGCCCCTGTCAGGCGTGCCTGCTGCCATTTCGGACCGACGAACTACAAGAAAACGCGCAAAGACCAATGAAAACATCTGGGCCTTGGCAGTTCTTGGCAACGACTCAAAGCCACGCCACTTTGATTGTCACTGCCATGCCAAGTAACGCTGCCACTAGCAGCACCTGGCACAGCGCCATGAGCCGCCTTCGTTGAGATGGAGCTGGGGGCGCGGGCGTGAAACCGCGGCTTGGCCCAGCTGCGAGCCACGGCAGTGGTAACTTCTCCTCGGGCCATTTTGTCTACTAGCAACCATTCTGCCTCCGCCGCAGCCAACCCACGGGACGCTTGGCTGGAGAACATGATGGCATTTTGACACCTCAGCACTTCAGCTTAAGCGGCGTCTCAGCAATGCCAATGCTCTTGAGTGGTTCCCAACATCTAGACTCCTGTTCTGTGTTTTCACGATTTCATTGATTGACAGCTCAAACGTGGCTGGACGATTCCTGGAACAGTTGCTGCATCTTTTTTATAAGAAAGATTAAGCGCCTGCCAGCTGGCTGAGACGGCGAAAAGAACCGAACAAACAGAGGCAATGGGCCTGCATGCCTGTGGGTCGAAACTGCCAGCCACCAGCCCACATGTTTACAAAGGAAGGTCATTCGGCGCTGCTGCTGCAACTCATGCGGAGTAGGGCACGAAGAAACTGCCCGGCCACCCATTCAACTCGCCGAGAATTCAGGCAAAACAATAAACTAGGGCTGTGGGGAATGACCACTTCTGTGATACAACAGAAAGGGCTTCCCAAAGACTATGTTGTGCATATATAAAGGGGGATTCCCAACAGTATCACAGAAGTGGGGAGAAACCCCTTGATACCACAACCCTTGCAATAAACTGAAAGTCTCCAGCGTGGCTGTTTTGCTTTACTACCAAACCAAGCGCAGGCCGACTTCTGCCGGGGATGCAAACAGCGAAGACAAACAACACACATAGAAAAAGGCATCAGAGTTCGGCATACATTGGCCTTGTCACATTGTGTGGAAAGTCTGAGGTTGCGGTTCCAAGTTGGCGGCAATGATGTTCCGGCTCTGAATCGGCAAAAGAAAGCAGATCATCGCGAACGCAAACGTGCACGGGTTGCAGGAGCCCTTACTTATCACTTATCACTTATCACTTATCACTTATCACTTATCACTTATCACCTATCACCAGTTATAATAAGTTATCAGCCCAATGTTGTTTTAAAAGTCGGACTTGCTGTCGTCTCCACGGCACGGTGTGAAGTTCCGTTGGTGCCCGGGAGTTTTTTTCCCGCCCAAACAGTGATGGCCCGACCATGTCTTATTGTCCGACTAGCATTGCGCTACTCCATACCATCGCCTACTATGTTGTTCCACAAAACGGATGCATCAGGAGGATAGGCCTTAGGTTTTGACGGCGTCGTTGCCGCGAAAAACGGCGCGAGGAATGACAAAGTTTCCGCCGCTCGGCGCCTCTCGCCCCTGGACTTCTCAGGTGCCCACACCCGCCGATGACGAGGTCGTGCCCAAACATACCGCTTCCCTGCCCGTCCTTGGGTGTGCAACAGCGCACCCGGCGGCGCCTGTTGCCTCTCCCACGCACGCCCCCCGGCCGGTACTGGATGCTGCTTCCTCGCCGGCCTTGCTCCTGGGCAGCCTTGCCCGATCGGCGGGGCATCCTGGGCTGGCTCCCCTTGTCTGACCGGGGGCCCTACGGAGCTGGGGCCTGCGCACTTCCCGAGCCTGCCCTTGTTGTTGCTGACAGCCGCGTGCGCGCTGGCCTTGCCAGTCTTGACCCAGTCGATGTTCACGCCCTCCTCAAGTTCAAGGTCCGTACGTTTCACGCCCCCCATCTTTTGTCAAAGGTCAAAGCACCCACGTTAAGGTCGCGGACGAGGGTGTGGGTGGTGACCAGCGCCCCAGCCTCACGACACACGCTCGGAACACACCAGCGCCGACCTCCCGCATCCTCCCGCGGTGCCGGTGTGCCAGGAAGTAGTTGACGGACAATCGTCTGCGCCAAGGTTGGTTCCCGCCTGCGCATGGCTGGCAAGCAATCCGCCCAGGCCCAAAAAAACGAGGTTGAGAGGGCCAGTGCAGCAAGCTGCGCTTGCACTGCTGCCGGGCCTTCCCTCAAGCAGAGACGCTAAGCATCGGCAAATTGCCTCCTCCTGCGCTTGTGCAAAGTTGGGCCGGGGCGAAGCACAGTACAGCAACAACAACAACCAAGCAACTTGCAAATCGGGAAGGGTCGGAAGGATTTGCAAGAAGCGCCAGAAACGCAATTATTTGGAGTGTGCTGTGCCGAGTTGGGCCTGCACAAATGCATCCGAGCCGATCGGGGCTCCCAACACGGTGCTCTGCACTCGGGTCTCAGCTGGACTCAACGAAGTGCGTGAGTTTTTTGTGTTTCGCGCACCTTTTTCCTTTTGTCCTGCAGGCCACTTATGTACCGGCGGCCCCCGGATGTGCTTAATTAGGGGGCATTACGGGGGCAGCCTTTTGTATACCGGCGTCCCGGCTGCGCGGCTCAACGGCCGAGCAAGCGGGATGCGCCCGCTGGTGGCGTGTGGGCAAGATCAGCCAGCAAGGGCAGGGTGTCATGGCTGCATGGGTCAGCCTGGCAACAAGAGCGCTGACAACACTGAGGCGCAGCCGAGCTGGCGCTTCAAGTGCCCGGGCGCGGGCCAAGGACCGGATGGGCGGCCTCATCACTCCACCGCCCGCCAACCTCCACTGCAAGCACGACCTACCAGCATCTGCGCGCCTGCAAGAGCTCTGCGTAGGCCCGCTCTTTGCGACGGCGTGCCAGCCCGTGCTTTCTCAGGCATCGGGAGATGGCCGCAAAACAAGCGCCTAACTGGCCGGGCTAGCCAGCAAATGAGACACAAGTGGACGGCGACCCACACCAAAGGCGCACGCAAGGCAACAAGCGGCTAACACTGGTCTGCAGGTGATTGAACAGTAGCTTCAGGATTTGCCTTCCCTTGATACCTCGAGGCGGAATCATGTTATAGCCGTCGCAAACCGAGCATCGAGTATACGGGACGCCTGCATTTTTTCATTTTTCCTGCTCCTTGCCAACATGTGAAAGTGAAACGCTGTAGGGGGTGCCCAAAACAACCAGGCCGCGCGCTCGGGTGGGAGCGTCCAGGCGCCGGCCCTTGAAGCGCACTGGTGCCGGCCGGTTCTTCTCCAGCCGCGTTCCAGATCCGCGTCAAGGTGCACCTCTATGCCCGCATGCTCCTGCAACACAACACGAGCAACGCCGGCCACCGCACGCACGCGCTTCGGTTGGCACACGGCGTACACGTCGTCGAGGTAGGCGAACATGGTCTCCCTGGGGAGCAAGGTGGCAGAGGCCGCCTGCAGCGCCAGGGCTGGCATGAGCGGGTCTCCCTGCTCGCCCCCTTCTGCTTGGACAACGCTGTGCGGCATGCCCGCGTCGTCGTACCAGAGGTACGTGCTGCTTTCCGCGTAGAACAAGCGAGCGAAGGGGAGCAACGGGGCGAGCGTGTTGTCACCCGCGAGGCCCCCCAGCATGCTGGCTCGATGGACATGGTCATAGGCCCCGACGCCATCTATGCTCACGACGGTCCCGCTCACACAGGGCGCGAACGGCCCGGGCAGCAGCCAAATCGTAAAAAGTCCTGTTTTTGAACCTCGACCACGCGAATCTCCGCAGAGGGTCGCGCGCGCAACGCAAAAGTTCTCAGTTTTTGAAGCTCGACCACGCGAATCTCCGCAGAGGGTCGCGCGCGCACCGCAGAAATCGTAAAAAGTCCCCAGTTTTTGAACCTCGACCACGCGAATCTCGGCAGAGGGTCGCAATCCCGAGCGATGATCAAACTCCCTCCCTGGCGCCTTACAAACCTAAACTAACTTACATAGCTGCTTACGCCGAAGCTCTACGCAAGCTCTACCTAACCTTGGCTCTGTGCCACCTGGCTCTGTGTCACTTGGCTCTGTGCCACTTGGCTCTATGTAACTTGGCTCTATGTAACTTAGCTCTATGTAACTTGGCTCTATGTAACTTGGCTCTATGTAACTTGGCTCTATGTAACTTGGCTCTATGTAACTTGGCTCACTTGGCTCTATGTAACTTGGCTCTATGTAACTTGGCTCTATGTAACTTGGCTCTATGTAACTTGGCTCTATGTAACTTGGCTCTATGTAACTTGGCTCTATGTAACTTGGCTCTATGTAACTTGGCTCTATGTAACGTGGCTCTGTGCAACTTGGCGCTGTGCAACTTGGCTCTGTGTAACTTGTCCAAGGGCTCCGCACGGAAGAAGCCTTCGCGATGCTTTCGGGAAAAATACTTCGCTTCGAGCAATCCCCACCCTCCACACTCACGAGCTTACGACCGTGAACACGGTTGTGTGAATTCAAGCATGGTTTTCGAGTGGCTTGGGGCCTATGACTGCTCAACAAGCTTTGCATTGAGAGCCTTACCCACCTGTCTGTGTGTCAATCTCCACTTGTCTGCGAGCCAATCTCAAACATCGGTTCCGTTAACAAAAGCAAGGCCCCTTCCAAAAAGAAGCCCGACGGGGGATTAAACAAAGTTGCTTATTCACAGCCCAAAGCAACACAAAGCATCACCCTGTCCAAGGCTCAGGGTACACGCAAAATACGAAGGCACCAACATGAAATGTAAACTCAACTGTGCGCCTCCGTTCCGGCCCAAGTCCCGAGCGCGAACTGGAAGGGCCGGCAAGCTGCATCAAAGGAGGCTGCAAACTGTTGCGCCAACGTCCGGGCCACCAGCCGGCGGAAGGTGTCCCCCATGACCAAGCCGCGGACTCGACCGTTCGGCTTCCGCAGCGCCACCATGCGGCCCAAGCGAAGCGCGGTGGCGATGACGTCGGGGACGTCCGCCAGCGCAAGCCTCTGCGCGGCGTGGTGGAGCAATTGCATGTCCTCCTCTGAATCCAGCAGCAGGCGTAAATGCTTGTTGGTGCAGCCCGACGGGCCAAGGGCCGCACCTCGGCGAGCGCGGCAAGTTGTTGACGGAGGCGCCCCATGACAGCCTCACTGGCTCGTGTTCGTGTGGCTGGTGTTGGAGAACAGCTTCAGGGATTGGCACTCGCGGGCTCTGCGGTCTGCGGGCGGGATCCCGGAGTTCGCGCAGCGTCTCGCCTGGTGCCAGCAGCTCCGCCGGGCCGCAGCCGAGAGTTCTCCTAAGTGCGCCAACGCCGCAGCCCGCTCGCCCCTGGGGCGGGCCGGATCTGGCCCCAGCCGGG